CTATCTATCTATCTATCTATCTATCTATCTATCTATCTATCTATCTATCTATCTATCTACCTCTATCACAGTGATGTCTAACCTTTTCTGGACCGAGTGCCCAAAGCATGTGTGTGCACACGAATATGTGTGTGCGCCCGAACCTCCAAAATGCAATGGACGTGTGGCCCCCGTGCATGTGCCCCACCCCTTTGCATGCATGCGTAGTCCCTGAGTATGTGCAGGTGCTCCCCACATGCGCCCCACCCCTGTGCATATGCGGCAGAGACCCAACGACCAGCTGGCCAACGGAAGGCATGCATGCATACATGGTGGAGCTGAACTGAGGTGACAGCCTGTGGTACGTGTGCCATAGGTTCGCCATCACGGATCTATCATCTGTCTGTCTGTCTGTCTGTCTGTCTGTCTGTCTGTCTGTCTGTCTGTCTATCCATCCATCCATCCATCCATCCATCCATCATAAAAAGGAAACAAAGCTTTCAATTAGGAGTTGTTTCTTTTATGTTTCATTGACAGAACTGGGGTGGAGTCAGCCCTTTGTGACCATCAGGGCCCTTTCAAGAACCCCAGTCCTCTCCTCCCATTGCCACAAAAGACAATGTCTGCCAATTTGCGCTTTTGCCTTCCAGACTAACTAGGAAGAGCCTGGAAGGGACACTTAGCATTAAAAATGTAAGATCTTATTTATCTGCATAATATGCTCATGAAGAATTTATGCACCCAGTTAGTATAATTGTTGCTGCTAAAACTAAGCAAATAAAAATGAATTTCTTTGTTGCCACTCATCTGAAATTGCCAGGGGATAAGTATTGGGTTATAAAATTCCTAAGCCAGAAAGAGACCTGACCTCCCTTAGCATTTTTCTCTTTGCTAGAAAACATTTCACCCTCTTGGCAAAAGAAGGACAGCCCCTCGGATGCACACCAGTGTACCATTTCAAAGTCTGAATTGGTGTCAGAAAGTATGTATGTATGTATGTATGCATGTTTGTATAATATATAATATAATTTCAGAATAGAAACAAGATATATCTAAAGGTAAATATATATACCTTGTTTCTATTCTGAAATTGCTTGATTTTTTTTTTGTTAATTAGATAGGTTTATTGTTATAGAAATGGCTTGTATATACTGTTGTGTAAAAGTAGAAAGTTGCAGTTTTAATGTTGTTATCTTCTACTGTACTAAAGAGAGTCAGAAGTTGGTGCCTTTTTCTTTCCTTTTCCCTCTTTATATCCTCTTTTTCTTTTCCCTCCCCCTCCTCCTAGTTTTCTATTTTTTGAAATTTTCTTTATATTTTATAATTTGATAAACCAATAAAAAAGTTTTTTTTAAAAAAAGTGATATGATATCAAAGACATGTAGCCAGTCTTGGCAAGCCAGGAGCTGTCCTCTGAGAAGTAGGACAAGGATTTATTAAATAAAATATTCAGTTCAAAGATTAGCTGAATTAATCATGGGGTTATTCCTTGTATAATGTCCCTTTTCTACTACATGAATAATTGCAACATAAAATTTGGTAACAACGCTTAAAGGAATTCTGGAGACTTTACCCATGCTTTGAGCACGCATGAGGTTATTGTCTGCTTATAACTTTCTCTATTATTCTGCTGGTGGCAACATTTCTGAGTTAATTAATTATTTAGCCTACTTCCGAATTAATTTGGTCAAGGTGCATTTATTAGGAAGAAATGAAAAATTGAATGAACATCCAACTTCCATTCACCCATACTGCTGGGAGGTGGGGGTGCCTTCATTTTATGAATGACAACTAGGGAAGCCATTCTTGTGGTTTTTCATCATTCAATTTACCCAAAATGCATCATTTCAGGAAATTGATGGCTTCCATCAGGAATGTTCTCTGTTGCCATGGCACCATTAATGTCACCGAAGGAAGTCAGAATAATAATTTACAAAAAAACCCAGTGAAAACAAGTGGCACGATGAAAGGACTGTAAGTCCAAGAAAGATAGTATTAGAACAGATTAAATCATGACGATAAATGGAGCCTCAAAATCAAACCAACGTGCTGCCAGTTCAACTGGGTTCCAATTTAGATCTTTGAAAAAGCACATCAGAAATTGTATGTTTTTGAAAGTTTATCTCTAACCTTTGACATGGCGCTTCCTTTAAGTGTTTTTAAAATGTATGTGCGGTTAGGAATTTAGAGGGTACCTGGAGGCAGGGTGTATATATTACTATTCTATTTCCATTGGTTTATCAAAGATATACCTGTTAATAATCAACCAAAACCCTCAACAACATTGTAATAAGCAACTGCTACATAGCTAAATTAGCTAAGCTAATTCAGCTACTGTAAGCTAAAACAGATAAGGTACAATCAGAATAAAACACCCATAGTAAACTTAAAATGAATATAGTATACAACATTAAAAATAAAATCATGGTGAGATGGGTGGAGAACTAGATAGATAAATAGATGATAGACAGACAGACAGACAGACAGACAGACAGACAGACAGACAGACAATAAAATATAGATGTAATGTGCTTGTGATAATGAATGCCAACCAATAAATGGACTCTGCATTCTGGACTTGCTGAATCTTCCAAGTGATCTTCAGAGGCCAAGCCATGTAGAGTGCAGTAGAGTAGTCCAAAGTGAGGAAAGGTGAGGCTATGAGTTAGTGTTATGAGGTCCTACAACTGCCATACAGAGAAAGATTCTGGGTTCTTGGTTTTCTGAAGAAATCAGTATCTGCAATTCCAGGAGGAATCTCAAATTGCAGAACTGGGTGGCTTTTTTCCCCAGGTGTAGGTCCCTTTCAATAACCACAGCACTGCTGCTATCAGAACACCTTGTGGACAGAGGATGTTCTTGTTTTATTCGGACCACGATCAGCATCTTAAGGCCAGGATTATTAGCATTTAGGCCCCTGGAACCCAGATATGAGGCAACCAGGCTAAAAATTATGTCTATCATCAACTTCTCAGTCAATGTCATAACTGTTGTTTCTACCATCTCAATCCTGACTCATTACAAATGATTATAGTGATACTAATAGCACTTACCACTTATATACCACTTTACAATGCTTTACAGCCATCTCTAAGCAGTTTACAGAGTCAGCCTATTGCCCCCAACAATTTGGATCCTCATATTACCCACCTTGGAAGATGGAAGGCGGAGTCAATCTTGAGCCTGATGAGATTCGATTTGCCAAATTGCAGGCAGACAGCAGTCAGCAGAAGTAGCCTGCAGTACTGCACTCTAACCACTGTGCCACTCTCGCTCATTATACTGTACCTGTCAGTTCCATCATTCATGGTCTCCAGGCTTCCAAACATCTCAATACTCATTCCATAAATTGCAAACTCATGATTGTAGTAACCTCCCAAACATGGTGCCAGTGATTTGGCAAGTCATTCACACCAGTAACTCCAACCACACCTACTCATCCCCCTTATTTTATACATCTCCCCAGACCAACAGTAAGGAAACCTCAGTATTGAAGAACATTTCCATTAATGCCAATCACTAATTCCCCTCATCCTATCCATTTGAGTGATCAACAGCTGGACAGTTAGCCTCACCTTTGGCTATCCTTGTCCAACTCTGTGACTGGGACACATAATGTCCTGAAGGCAGGACAAGAAACAATGGGTGGAAACTAATCAAGGAGAGAACCAACCTAGAACTAAGAAGAAATTTCCTGACAGTTAGAACAATTAATCAGTGGAACAACTTAGCTGCAAAAGTTGTGGGTGCTCCAACATGGAGATTTTCAAGAAGAGATTGGACAACAGTTTGTCTGAAATGGTATAGGGTTTCCAACCTGGGGGGGGGGCGGGGTCAGACTAGAAGACCTCCAAGATCCCTTCCAACTCTTTATTTATTTATTTATTATTTATTTATTAATTAAATTTCTATACTGCCCTTCTCCAAATAGGACTCAGGGCGGTGCACAGCCTAAGTAAAAACAGAGCATACAAAATTTAAAAAACAGTATTAAAATAATTAAAAATTCTGGCCGTAAATTAAAACAACCCAATTTAAAATCAATTTAAAATTTAGCTCAAGCCAGCCCAGCTAGTTGAAATAAATAGGTTTTCAGGGCCCGACGAAAAATCCGGAGGTCTGTTATTATACATAACTCTGGGGGAAGGTTATTCCAGAGGGTGGGCGCCATCACAGAGAAGGCTCTCCCCCTGGGGGTCGCCAGCCGACATTGTCTGGCGGACGGCACCCTGAGGAGGCCCACTCTGTGCGAGCGTACTGGCCGGTGGGAGGCTATTGGTGGCAGAAGGCGGTCTCGTAAGTACCCCGGCCCTAAGCCATGGAGCGCTTTAAAGGTGGTCACCAACACCTTGAAGCGCACCCGGAAGACCACCGGGAGCCAGTGCAGCTCGCGCAGGAGAGGTGTCACATGGGAGCGCCTTGTTGCCCCCATAATCCCCCACGTGGCCGCGTTCTGGACCAGCTGGAGCCTCCGGGTGCACCCCAGGGGGAGCCCCATGTAGAGAGCATTGCAGTAGTCCAGGCAGGAAGTGACTAATGCCTGAGTGACTGTGCGTAGAGAGTCCCGATCTAGAAAGGGGCGCAACTGGCGTATCAGGCGAACCTGATAAAAAGCCCCCCTGGCCACGGCCGTCAAATGATCTTCTAGAGACAGCCGTGCGTCCAGGAGGACGCCCAAGTTGCGAGCCCTCTCCGTGGGGGCGAGTGATTTGCCCCCAATAGCCAGCGATTGCGTCAGCTGGCTATATCGGGACGCTGGAAGCCACAGCCACTCGGTCTTGGAGGGGTTGAGTCGGAGCCTGTTTCTCCCCATCCAGGCCCGCACGGCCTCCAGGCACTGGGACATCACTTCAAGGGCATTGTTGGGGTGGCCTGGGGTGGAGATGTACAGCTGGGTGTCATCAGCGTACTGATGGAACTCCACCCCGAAGCCACGGATGATCTCACCCAGCGGCTTTACATAAATGTTGAACAGAAGGGGCGAGAGGACCGACCCTTGTGGCACCCCACAAGCAAGGTGCCTCGGGGTCGACCGCTGCCCCCCCGTCAACACAGATTGCGACCGGTCAGAGAGGTAGGAGGAGAACCACCGCAGAACGGTGCCCCCCACCCCCAACCCCGCCAACCGGTGCAACATGATACCATGGTCGATGGTATCAAAAGCCGCTGAGAGGTCTAACAGGACCAGGATAGAGGAGCAACTCCTATCCCAAGCCCTCCAGAGATCATCCACCAACGCGACCAATGCCGTTTCCGTGTTGTGCCCAGGCCGGAAGCCGGACTGGAGCGGGTCTAGATAGACAGTTTCATCCAGGTACCGGGGAAGCTGTTGCGCTACCACACTCTCAACAACCTTCGCAACGAAGCGAAGGTTGGAGACTGGACGATAGTTAGCCAAAACAGCCGGATCCAGAGAGGGCTTCTTGAGGAGGGGCCTCACAACCGCTTCTTTCAAAGTGGCCGGCAGGACCCCCTCACTCAAAGAAGCGTTAACAATCTTCTGGAGCCAGCCTCGTGTCACCTCCCGGGAAGCCAGTACCAACCAGGAGGGACACGGGTCCAATAAACATGTGGTCGCGTTCAGCCGTCCCAGGACCCTGTCCCTCCTCCTCGGGAGCCACAGGATCGAACTCCCCCCAGATAACACTCTCAAGACCTGCCTCAGTCATCCCGTCCGGACATACCCAGTCAGAGGCCAGCCCTTCCCGAATCTGAGCGATTTTGTCATACAGATACTGCACAAAGTCCTCAGCTCGGCCCTGCAAGGGGTCATCCCGCGCTTCCAGATGGAGGAGGGAGCGGGTCACCCTAAACAGGGCGGCCGGGCGATTATCTGATGACACGATAAGAGCAGCAAAATAGCTAGATTTCGCCGCTTTTATCGCCACTAGGTAGGTCTTAATATGAGACCTCACCAGTGTTCGGTCGGATTCGGAGCGGCTGGTCCTCCAACTACTCTCCAGGCGTCTTTTCCGGCGCTTCATCTCCCTAAACTCCTCGGAGAACCAAGGAGCTAGGTGAGTTCAGTGCCGGGTCAGAGGCCGCAAAGGCACGACACGGTCCAAGGCCCCGGCAGCCACACTATCCCAGGCGGCCACCAGGTCCTCAGCCGAGTCATGAGCCAGAGTCTAAGGAAATGGCCCAAGCTCCATCTGGAACTCTGTTATTCTGTATGTAGTGAGACAGGAGGAAAAACTGTAGACTAGACAACAGTCTGTTAAGAGGCAGCTGAGCTACAGAAGTAATGGGGTTATGGAAAACATCTCATAAAAGAAACCCTCCCTAGTTTTGTAAAGGCAAAGAGGGAAAGATGTATTTTCAGACTTGCAATATTACAGTATGTTAATGTAACCTTACAATAAAGAGAGAGATAATACTCCTGGGTATGCTTGTTATCTGGATTACCTCACAAGCCTGATAGTTCATCATATTCTCAAGAATGGTAGTAGCAGTTGTTTCCTTTCAGTTGTTTCCTTTCCCTTTATAGAGGCCTAATACCAGCAACCTGCAGTACTGTCTTTCCCAATATCTCTAAGTCAGCCCCAGCACTACAACTGCAGCCCAAAAGCTGGCCTCCATCTTCTGCCATTCCATCTTCCCCTGCTCCAATTCTTGTGCCAGACATTTTGCCAATATTGGCACCTGCCATAGGATGTTAATGTCATGCTGCAATAATCGCTTTGCTGAAGAGAGTAGCTCAGATGGCAATTTAAATCACGTTCCAAATCAGTTGGGTGGCAGTGCTGAAAACTGAGCATAGAACAACACCATAAGCTCCCAAGTAAGTTCTCACAGGTTATGTTCTCTTGGGTTATGTCCTCTCAAGTTACTATCTTCAAAGCTACCAATCAGTCTCAATCCAAAGCAATGCAGCCACTTCCAGAGGACGCCAAGTCCAGCTCTTCTCCAAACACCATTCACCTGCCTTCTGACTTTTTTTACATGTTCCAACACCATCAACCTAAAACCAGATATGAAAATGCACTCGGAAAGGAAAGACAGATCAGACACCAATTTAGGGAGAAAAAGAGAGACTCCCACTATATAGATAGTCCTCGACTTATGACCCCAATTGAATCCAATCTTTCTGTTGCAAAGCAAGACAAGTATTAAGTGAGTTTTACCCCATGTTACGACCTTTCTGTCACAGTTGTTAAGTGAATCACTGCAGTTGTTAAGCTAGTAACAGAGTTATCAAGTGAATCTGGCTTCCCCATTGACTTCGCTTGTCAAAAGGTCATAAAAGGTGATCACATGATCCTGGAACACTACAACTGCCATAAATATATGCCAGTTACCAGGCGTCCGAATTTTGGTCACATGACCATGGGGATGCTGCAAATGGTTGTAAGTGGGGAAAATGGTCATGTCACTTTTTTTAGTGCTGTTGCAACTTCAAACGGTCACTAAGTGAACTTTTGTAAGTCGAGGACTACCTGTAAAATGTTGACTGTTTTTTTCCCACCCCTGAATGGCAGGAAATAAAAATTTAGCTTTTTGTGACTTTTCAGAGGCCACAAAAATCAGTTCACTGGTTAGGTAAAGGTAAAGGTTCCCCTCACACATATGCGCTAGTCTTTCCCGACTCTAGGGGGTTACTCATCTCTGTTTCAAAGCCGAAGAGCCAGTGCTGTCCGAAAACATCTCCATGGTCATGTGGCCGGCATGACTAAATGCTTAAAGGCACATGGAACGCTGTTACCTACCCACCAAAGGTGGCCCTTATTTTTCTACTTGCATTTTTATGTGCTTTTGATCTGCTAGGTTGGCAGAAGCTGGGACAAGTAACAGGAGCTCACCCCATTATGCGGCACTAGGGATTCAAACCCCTGAACTGCCAATCTTTCGATCGACAAGCTCAGCATCTTAGCCACTGCGCCACCACGTCCCTCTTCACTGGTTATTCATCTCTAAATTATATGAAGAAGTACTTTACTTATTTCTGTAATTCAGTTGGCTTCTCTAATTCAACCACCTCATCTGCGGAAACATTTTTAACCACACACAAATATATATATACCTATACCTGCCGCAACTCTAAATGTTTGATGAGAAGAGCATGTAGACACTTCCCTAAAGACTACAGGAGGGGAAGTTACATCTTCTGTTGCAAGTCTGTATACTTTCATGCATAAAATTTACTACTTAGAAGTGATGTAAAAAACACAGCAATATTTGTCAAAGGAAGAAGACACACATTACTCTCTGTGTTTGCAGTTGTTCTTTCACGGAGTCAAGATACTTTAAAGAGACATCTTCGAAAAAAGCAAAACACGATACCATCCTTTTGATTCAAAATGATCTCCTACAATGCTATCAAGTAAGTTTCCATCAGCTGATTTACAGTTCTCGGTTCCCCTACAGAAACAAACAGAAATTTAGGCAGATAATAGACACGTTCGAAGTAAAACGCTATTTGGTAAATCCTACCAGTGTCTGGAAGGTGGCAGATTAAAAGCTTTATACATTTGGAATTAAAGCCTGTCTACTACACATAAAAACAAATTAGTTCTGGAAACCTGTCACCTTGGGTTTTTGTTTTAAAAAAAGTGTACTTTGAATGTGTGGAGATTCATAACAGGTATTCATACTTCTTCAGCTTTTTGTCAATGGGCAAATTTCAGATGGTGCTGGCAGCAGTTTGAAGGTGATTAATAGATGCACGTTAATGAATATTAATTAGATCACTTTAGAAATTTGAGAGTGTTGAACTAGCATCTATTCCAAAACATGATAGCCTTTTATGTAAATGATGCCATTGGATTAAACTTGGCCGCTTGCTATTTGTTTTCTAAAATGGATCCACATGAAGAATGTATTCAAAAGAACAATACTGTATTGGTGAACAACCAACAATTATTTTGGTCACCTAATGTGGACTCTCAAGCTAAAGTGGGAAGAGGTATTAAGAGGAGGTTAAGCTTAGAGTCCTTGGCCAGAAGAAAATGGTACAGACCTTCGGAGTCGCTGAAGCCTTCTCTGATCCTTCCCGGTCAGTCTGGTGAGATTCCTGTAAATAGGCACTGCAACAATAGAGAACTAACTTGATCAACTTACAGTGTGGGCCTGGTTCCTGACACCTAACTTTTAAGTCGTACATCCGTATCTCCCTATTAATATCAAGTCAAGTGAAATCTCATCTCCAAACTGAATTCAACTCCTAATGACTGTGTGGAAAAGTCCACAGAGGGGGTAGTGGAGGATCTACAGGGGGAGTCAACTAAACCAGAGATCTTCAACCTTGGCCACTTTAAGACTTGTGGACTTCAACTCCCAGAGTTCAATTCAATTTTGGGAGTTGAAGTCCACAAGTCTTAAAGTGGCCAAAGTTGGAGACCCCTGAACTAAACAGTTGAAGCCCTATTCCTTTGAAGATCCATGTGACTCAACCTACTTATAATACGGGCATTCTTTGGTCATACAGTCATGACCACCATCTCTTTTTAAACCTGCCCTGTAGATGCTATTGGATGTCCATGCGGTTTTCCTGGCTTCAGTACAGAAATGATCTGTCTTGTTTACTTCCAGGATGTTTTTTTTTTCCATTTTCCAATTATATCTATAACCCTGATATTTCCTGGTGGCCTCTCATTCAACTGCTAGCTAGGTCCAACTTCTCTAAACTTCTTAGCCCAATCAGTACTTGGAAATACTTTAATTCTAATACAATGATATAGGCTGCAATAACAGAGTCTCGAAAGCCCAGTGCTGTTTCTCTTTCCCTTATACCAAAGAGAGTCAAAACAGATCAATCTTTAGGTTTTTTTTTTCACATCTTCCTGTTTTTCTGGGCTCAAAGCCATCTCCGTACTGTTCTACATGGGCAGAGGAGAAGCCTGATGTGAAGAATGACCTAATAATATCAAAAATGTTTGTATTTTGCATGCAACTAATAACTTAAAACAAAACAAAATGCATTTATTTATATGGGAAAAAAAATGACCAGGCTTCTTTTCCCAAAAAGTACATGAATATATGGGGCGAGATGAGAATCTTTAAATCTCATCTCCCTACGGCAAGATAGAAATCTACAAGGTGTTTAGAAAACATACAGAAGTAAAATAATGTACACAGTCAGGATCCCCGTGTGAACAACTGTAACTACTTGTCTCTGAATGAGGTTACAATTCCTTGCACAACATCTCACCAACATAAGAAAGAGCAGCTTCCCATCATAAATAGATATTTGTACAACTGAAAAATTCTTATAAATGACTCAACTTCCCTACTTCATATATCTCTGCACCAATTGTCATTTTAGAGTACTCCACTTTCAAGTGAAGCTTTTTCAATAGAAAGAGGGCTATAGAAAAAGGACAAGCAAAGCACTTTCTCTTGCTTGAATGCCATTATGTACCTTAATTATTGCTTCCTTTCTGTGCAAGTTTCTTGTTCGCAGCCTTGAGTGTTCTTGAGTCCTCTCTTTATCTATGTAACTCAACATTGAGGAGATCTGGTGATCACATTCAGAAGTAGAAACATAGATTAATGAGTGTTGGATGGATGGTCCCTGCCTTAAAATCTGCATTTACTTATTTCTGTGATTGAGAGAAAAGGATGGGTCCTTATGTCTTTTATATTGAATGATCACCAATGATCACTTCAAGAAATAGCTGTCCTCTCCCTATGAGTAGGACTAAGTGGCACTTAAAAATGATTAATGTAGAAAATGAACATTTATTTTCATCAAGTGGTTTCCTTAGATATGGAAAGTACACTCCTTAGGAAGGGGGAATAGTGAAAGGAGACATGAGTAACTACTTGTTATAGGGAAAAGGGAATGGCCTTGTGGGACAGAAGGAAGATTCACTGCCAAGGAAATGATCAGATAAAAGAGAGATGAGTCTATCAATGGCCCAGACTGTTGACTCAGATTCTAAGAAGCTGAAGAAATTGGTCCAGCTGAGCTTGTGGATAGTCAACAGCAGGAAAGACGAAGCCAAGCATCACATGAGGTCGATCCATCACCTGAACAGAAGGACCTGTCAGGATGACATAAAGCCTTCCTGTCTTTTCGCACCAAACAAGTAGAGAAGAGAGTAGAACAGAGGGAGTCTATTAGGATACCTGCCAAACAACCAAGTAAACATTCTGATTAGTGACAGCTGGCTACAGCCTATATCACAGACTTTCTTTACTTCTGTTCTCTTCGTTGAAAACAGCATTTAGCTTGTGCGTGATTCCTGTGTATGAATTCCACTCTTGGACCTTAGACCCTTTGGGCTGGCTGACAACTTTGCCCTGGCTTTAACATTGTCCTGGTTCTTGAACCTTGGACAGATTTTGGATGAGTCTTCATGTCCTGGAGGAACGCTGTACGTTCCTCTTTGAAAACAAATTTGCAAGCAAACCTTTGCTTTGTTTGACAGTTCTGGCTACATTGCTAGTTCTGTTGCTACATTGCTAAAGCTGATATTATCTCCCAAGAAGCTGTTTGTGTGTGTACAGTATGTGTCTGAAACCTGAAGGAGTTTCCGGAGTAAGAATGAAATGAGTACAAATCTTGCAGACAAACTCCTCCCTTGTTTATTTGAACATATTAAGAGAGGGGGATGGAGTGCCTTTAGAGAGGCAAAATTGTGTTGGTATAACATTGCGATAGAATTGAAAACAGCCTACATGACACTGATTTCCTGGGCTAATACTACTAGTAACCAGCAATAAAAGGTGGTTGGATGTTGCACACATGTTGTCACCTGTATGCGCTACTTGAGGGGTGTAGACTGATAGGAAATTTTGGCTGAGTTTAATCTGTTTGATAAGAAACTATTCTGCCACCAGTGAATGCCTCCACAATCAATTTTATTTTACTTCTGCAGGGATGGAAGACAGTGGTATCGGGAACAGCTGGCAACTAATGGGTTCACTGCAAGACCTGCAGCTGATGGAATGCAAAGAACATATTCCACCCCTGGGCAATGGTCTATCACTATTAACATTAAAGCAATGCATTAATTGATTGGTACAAGATGATAACCATTAAGTAGCCCATCTATTGATAGTAATAGCAATAGCACTTAGACTTATATACCACTTCACGGTGCTTTACAGCCCTCTCTAAGCAGTTTACAGAGTCCACATATTGTCCCCAACAATCTCGGTCCTCATTTTACCGACCTGGGAAGGATGAAGACTGAGTCCACCTTGAGCCAGTGAGACTTGAATTGCTGGCAGTCAGCAGAAGTAACCTGTAGTACTGCATTCTAATCACTGCACCACCACAGCTCATATGTTACCAGAACTGATTGCTATAAAATAAACCAAATAGCATTTTACAGATTTTCTTTGTATTTACCCAGTGGGTCTTGTAATGTATTGCAAGCTAGCTTTGATTTTCTTTTTAAAATGTCCTGACGAAATTTCAATAAAGCAACTTTTGCCTATTGGAAAGCAACATTCAAATATCAATGTTCCACTAGTAACCATGGGTTATTGACCCAGTAAAATGTACATTAGGCACCTGTACTGAGAATCCTATAAAATATGTCAATTTTACAATTTACATGAGTATAGTACCTCATGCTTTTCCTTAAGCACTTTAGAGGGGATATATTTTAATGAGAATTCAACCCTTGCCTTTAATTTTGCTGTCACCTTCAATCTTGAAAACTTTTTTTATATTCCATCTCTGAAGGGCTTGCATAATTAAAGCACTATTAGTATTATAAGGGCCTCACAATTTGTTGCCTTTTCTTTTTATGGCCCACAGAGATTCAACTATGGAGCAATTGACAGCTAAAACTAAACACTGTTGTTTCATGACCTCAGACAGGATTATATATATATATATATTTCACATGGGCTTAATGGTCTGGCTCCAGGATGCTCCTTCTTGAGATAGTTTCCATTCCAGAAGATCATTTCTGGGGACAACACAAAAGAAGTGGGATTTTATCTCCATGAATTTCTTCTTTCAGCAGAAGGGTGGGGGAGAGAGAACAATTTGGTGAAACCCTTGTGTTCCTTTTCTGCACCTCTATGAGGCAATGAGCACCAAGGCTATAGAAAGGAGGTATAAATCAATATAACCTTTACCCAAAGAGAAGATGTAAAAGAGTTTATATTTACAATATTCCAATGTTTACGGTCCATTTAGTGTTTACAGTGAAGTCAGGAACTACACAATGATGCAGGAGTACATACCTCATATGAGAGCATGCAGATTGTACCTTAAAAGACCAGAAAAGGAGTTAGAACAAGAAGTGAAGAAGATGGTACAGTGAAGTGTGATCAAGCATTTATAGAGTAAATGATGTTTCCCTACAGCAAGGGCGTCAAACCCACAGCCTGTGGGTCAGATGCCTCATGCACTGGCCACTCCCACTCCCAGTTTAGCAAAGGGGAGGGACTTGCGATACGTCACGTGGTGATGTGTCGTCGTGAGTTTGACACCCCTGCCCTACAGTATTCAGATGTAGTTCTTGGTAGCATGAGTTCATCCACCTCTGTCTTGGATCCATGACTAACTTGTCCCTTTCAAAAAATCAGGAGGCATTTGTGTGGCAAGATTCAGGAGGTGATTAAAAATTATAAGAATGGAAGAGATGGTGCCCCCTTCTTGAAGTAGATGGCGATGTGCCCCTGCTGAAAAGGCAGCAAAATTGATGTATTTTACACTAAGTATATTCTAGTATGTTTAAGATTTCTAGCAGATTGATAGGCTATGAAAGAAGGTTTAATAGCAAAGACATACCTCTGATTTCCTTTATCTAAATTATGACTGCCATGCAACGTGAGATTAACTTTCCTAACCTTCAGCTTTATCCCCAGGTGTATATTCTGACTTTTATTAACAATTAGCAAAGGCGGTCTCTGCATTAAGAAAAGTCATAATAGCTCTCTAACTTTTCTGGTTTATATTATCAATAGAAATAATATATCTCCTCTTGTATATCTCTTGGGAATGAACCCAGCTGGATCAGGATGTATTATTTCAGTTTAAAATATCATTTAATCTCTTTGCAATAACTGTAAAAAAAAATAATAAAAGCCTTGTAATCTACATTCAGTTTAAAAAATGGATCTGTAAACTCTGGACATAATATGAAAATTGAGCAAAGAGCAGGATTTTTTTGTAAATCCAAACCCTTTTTTGTAAATGAAAGGACTAAAAGCTTCTTAGCATGATGAAGAAAAGTACTTGACATTGTTGAATCTCATTCATTACCCGAGTTAATGGTTTAATCAAAAGGTCTTGAGAAGTTTTATAATATAATGCAGGAAAATTGTCTGGTCCTACGGATTTATTCCACTGTAATTTCTGAATTGCTTCTTTTGTTTCATCTTCTGTAATTAATGTATGGAGAACTTCCCTTGGTTGATTTTCAGCTCTCTTCTTCCCTTTCATATAAAATAATAATAATAATAATAATAATAATAATAATAATAATAATAATAATAATAAATAATAAATAATAATAAAAAAAATACAGTGTTACTTGGCACACTGGGTGCTGTGCCTAAAGACCTAGGCAAGCACTTAAAAACAATTGGCGCTGACAAGATCACTATTGATCAGCTGCAGAATGCCACCTTACTGGGATCTGCTCGCATAATTCGCCAATACATCACGCAGTCCTAAACGTTTGGGAAGTGTTCAGCTAGTGATTTGGGATATGAAATCCAGCATGGTCATCTCGTTTGCTGTGTATACTGTCATTATAAACACAGTGGGTTTATTAGGACTGTGCATGCTTTTAAAATGATTCAGAAGTACTTCAGATGGACTGGAGGATATACATATTATTTCTTTGAGGCATGCATATATATATATTTGCCTCTTTTTTCAGCTTTTTCCAGAGATATGGCTACTTTAAGAATCACTTTCAAATACAATTGTTTTAATGCTCTGACTCTTTAAAGGAGCCACATCTATTTTCAAGCTAATATGGAAACCTAGAAAAAGATGTGCCGCTTTAAAGAGGTGCCGCATTTATGTTCCCACACATTTTGAGACCTTTTTTTTTTTCCAAATCTATCTGAAACATGCACAGCTGTATTAGCTATGATCCTTATTCCATTTAAAGGGTCAAAATAGTAGGGGAACAGATCCTTCATAGCACACATGGATGTGTATATACAGTAGTCCTTGACTTACAATCACCATTGAGCCCAAACATTTCTGTGGCTAAGTGAAACAGGTGTCAAGTGAATTTTGTCCCATTTTACGACCTTCCTTGCCATGGTCATTAAGCGAATCACTGCAGTTGCTAAACAAGCGACACGGTTGCTAAGTGAATCTGACTTCCCCATTGACTTTGCTTGTTAGAAGGTCGCAAAAGGTGATCACATGACCCCGGGACAATGCAACCGTCATCAATATCAACCAGTTGCCCAGCATTTGAATTTTGATCACGTGGCCACGAGGATGCTGCAACGGTCGTAAGTGTGAAAAAAGGTCATAAGTCATTTTTTTCAGTGCCATTCAAATGGTCACTAAATGAGGACTACCTCTATCGGCAACTTGTTAAAGCAGCTATCCTTCGCTTGAGTTGCCCCTGCCTGAGATTTCACAGCAAAGTATTTCTTTTCACCAAATGCTTTAAAATTCATGCACCTTAACGGCATTCACACACAATTTTATTCCTCATTAGAAATATAAAAGTCCTTGGATGCCTCCTTTAACGAGAGGCATCCTTTAAAGGGGGATTAAAATTCCACCCGAGCTGAAAAGCGAAATGAGACTGTAATAAAAGTTCGGGAAGTTTCATAGTTAAAATTATTCTTTAATTATATCTCAAACCTTGGTGAGTACTGACAGCCTCCTCCTGGTCTTTATTCCTTAGCAAGCAGGGATGCCTTTGGACTTTAAATCAGGGCACTAAATGAAGCCAGTCTCCCCCTTGCCACCAGCTTTATTTGCAGTTTGCAGGGAAGCTTTCCTCTGGATGCCACCGAAGCTGAAGATTTTGCATCTGAAAGGCAGTGTGGGGGCTCCTGTGCGTCTGCGGTAGGCAAAGGTTAGTTATATTTTATCCGCCGGGAACATTGCTTAATGATGTTAGTTAGAAAAGGCTCGGCACTAATTGAATTCCTTAAACTCCCCAAGTGGTTGTGCATTGCAATCTAAGATTAGACTTCCCGAGTAACTCATGTCAGCACAGTAAATTTTGTTTATCGAGTGAAGATGCCTTAGCTTGCGAGGGAGCACTTGGAGCGAACACGTCGTCGCAATGAACACGATACACATTTAAGACGGTGAGGTTCTTTTGGACTGTTTTTTAGCAAGCAACTCTTTTGCAACATTTAACAAACATTGGCGAATGCAGGACGCTGCTTTTGAGTCCACCGGGCTCCTAGGAGACTATGTGAACCCATCACATGCTACCAGTAGTGGGTTCCTCTTACCTTCGCTACCAGTTCGGAACCAGGAGCTCTCGTGCGCGTGTGCTTGCTTCACTCGCACACTGTGCTTCTGCACATCCGCAGAACTTTCTGCGCATGTGCAGAGTGTCTGTGATGACATCTGGGCAGGTGGGTGGAGCCTCCCGCTGCCACCACCACTACTGGTTTGCCCAAACTGGGGCAAACCTATAGAAACCCACCACTACGTGCTACTCAAAAATGGTGCAGAGCTAGCCTGTCATTGCCTTCTTCGGGATGTTACCAGGTTATTTTATTTGTTAAATTTATAGGCTACCCATCTCACTGTCTGGTGTCTCTGGGCAATTTACAACATTGCAAAAGCAGAGACAGAAACATTAAAACATTAATATTATCCCCCAGCTTTGGACTTTTTGGTGGTCTCATATCCCAAAACCAACCAGTCTGATTCCTGGTTAGGTTTTCAAGGTCAGCTAGGTTTATTTGGTGTTACCTTCTACTTGGATATCATCAATGGTGGTTGTCCATAGAGATTCTCAGTCATCCAGGTCATGGTTGTCCCAAAGATGTTTTTTTTTTCTTTTTTCAAGAGGCAACTGGACTTTCTGATTTATCTTTGAATATGTTTCATTTCTCATCCAAGAA